TAAACATGCATTTCTAGGTGTGTTCAACATTACCCCACAACAAGTTATCATCTTTAAGCCTTAACATGCATCAAGCTTTCATTTTTAAGTTCAAAGACTCAAGACCAAAGGTGACAAGGCTTACCAAAGCTCAAGACAGAGGTTGGAGGTGCTCTTGGAGCTCACAATCAGCTCCCAAGGTGCTGGCTTCAAGGGTGTACGAAAATACCACTCAAGCAAGGATCTTTCTTCACAAATGAAGCTCCTTGAAGCCTCACAAGCCAAGCACAACACTCCTCAACAAGAATGCCACCAAACTAGAAAACACCTCAGCTCCCACAACCACCACAACTCAGAAAAGGTGCTCCTTTCACACTCACAATGACCACTCACACAAGGCTCAAGTGTTTGGAGGTGAAGAAACCAAGCAAAATTGACACTTGATCTCCAAAACGGTGAAGAAGGCTCAATGGAACAGTAGCAACTGACCAGCCACTCCAGCATTCACGTAGCAACAGAAAAACCTAGGGCTTTGTGCCCTTAACAAGGGTATTTATAGCCACTTACCCAATTAACACACAGTATTAACTTTAGTTGCTACGCTTAGCATTTTAATCCCAAACTTTGGATTAATAAACTACATAATTTTCTAAGATTTATCATATTTTTCTTATAATTTTCCGAGCACTTTTTCGGTACGCGCTTTTCCAAGCCAGTACCGGTTTCCAGCACCAGTTCTCATTATCTGGACTTGAAACTCGTTTTACAAGTCCTACATATTATTCTAGTAATTATCATGCACTTACATTAATTTTCCGGGATACTTTTTCGGCACGCATTTATACCGACTAGCAGAACCGGTATCTGCATTTTTCTTCCGAAAAGCGACTTTCAGCATTCTTAATCACTTATTACAATTATTAAGCCTCATAAATAATTATTAAGGTCAATTATGGAATCATTTCCTAATTTTGCATAATTAATTAATTAAATACCTTAATTAACGGTGCAGGTTCTTACAAGTCACGAGGTCTCTACTATCTGCATGCACCCTCTGCTCCAGTTGCATGCTGTCTCACAGAGTCTCTTGAGCTTCTCCATAGCCGTCTGGTTCATCTAAGTCTCTCGAAGCTTCAGCATATGATTCCTTTTTTGTCAGGTCTTAAGTCTTTGAATTGGCAGTCTTGTCAGCAGGGAAAGCATACTCGCTCTTCCTTTGCTAGTAGAGTCAATAAGAGAGCTGCTGCTCCCTTTTCTATTGTTCATTCTGATATTTGGGGTCCGAGTCGGACTATGTCAGTTTTGGGTTTTCAGTATTTTGTAACCTTTATTGATGATTTCTCATGTTGCACTTGGGTTTATTTAATGAAAAATCATTCTGAGTTATTTTCAATTTATCAAAAGTTTTGTGTAGAAATAAAAACTCAATTTGGTGCTTCTATTCAAATCTTGCGCAGTGATAATGCCAAAGAGTATGTGTCTCTTGAATTTTCTGGATACACATGGGACGATACACCAGACTACCTGTCCCCACACTCCACAACAAAATGGAGTCGCTGAACGTAAAAATAGACATCTAGTTGAAACTGCGTGTACCCTTCTCATTCATATGAACGTCCCACTCCGTTTTTGGGCAGATGCTATTATCACCTCATGTTTCTTTATCAACCGCATGCCCTCTTCTGTGCTAAATAATGATGTTCCCCATAGTATTTTGTTTTCCGGAGCACCTTCTTATCCTCTGCCTTTACATATTTTTGGCTGTACTTGTTTTGTTCATGATCTTACTCCAGGTAAAGACAAGTTGACATCCAAGGCCTTCAAATGTATTTTCCTTGGGTATACAGGTTTTCAAAAAGGGTATCGTTGCTATTCTCCTGATCTCAAGCGTTATATCGTTTATGCTGTTGTCACTTTCCTTGATCAGCAGCCTTTTCACTCTACTCCGTCTCCAGTGTCACAGGTTGATCAGGTCCTTCCTGTTCCTTTTCTTGACTTGTCTTTACCAGCTGCAGGTGACCCTATTCCAGAGAAGCAACCCATTACATCCATACCTGCAGATCGTCCTCTCCTCACATACCAGCGTCGTCAGCCTGCACCTCCTCCAACTTTGCCTCTTGATGACTCATCGCCCTTTCCCGTCGGCTCTTCTCCTCCGGATCCTCCATCAGAGACTCCTCCCATTGCCCTTCGGAAAGGTATTCGATCCACTCGAAATCCTCATCCCCTTTATTCTTTCTTGAGTTATGACAGACTTTCTCCACAACATTTTACTTTTGTTTCTAGTCTCTCTTCTGTTTCCATCCCTAAAACCACAGCTGAAGCACTATCTCATCCAGGGTGGCGCCAGGCGATGCTTGATGAAATGCAGGCACTTCACTCCAATGGCACTTGGGGTCTTGTTCGTGCTCCTCCCGGGAAATCTGTTGTTGGTTGTCGATGGGTGTTCACAGTTAAAGTTGGTCCTGATGGCACTTTTGATCGCCTTAAAGCTCGCTTAGTGGTCAAGGGATACACACAGATCTTTGGTCTTGATTATGGGGATACCTTTTCTCCTGTTGCTAAGATGGCTTCTGTTCGCCTGTTTCTTGCTCTTGCCGCCATTCATCACTGGCCCCTTCTCCAACTTGATATTAAGAATGCTTTTCTACATGGTGACTTGCAGGAGGAAGTTTATATGGAGCAACCACCGGGTTTTGTTGCTCAGGGGGAGAGTTCTGGAATCCACTTATCCGACTGTTGCTGAGCATTTTTTGGATATCAAACGGACCTCCCCAGAAGGTAATTTTAACGTGGCCGATTTTCCCTCTTTTGCAATCAGTTTCGCTACAGCGGCCTGGTTTAGCAGCTTTAGTTCAGTTGTTGAATCCTTTGGCTTAATCAGAAGCAAAGCCGATCATTCTGTCTTCTACCGGCATAGCTCTTCTGGCCAGTGCATTTATCTCCTGGTCTATGTTGATGACATTATCATTACAGGCAGCGATCAGACCGGGATTGATCAGTTGAAAGAGCATTTATTCAATCAATTTCAGACCAAAGATCTTGGCAGACTTCGATATTTCTTGGGGATCGAAGTTGCACAGTCTAGGCGGGGCATTTCCATCTGTCAGAGGAAGTATGCACTAGATATCCTAGATGAGACTGGCATGTTAGGCTGTAAACCCATTGATACACCTATGGACCCCAATGTTAAGCTATTACCAGGACAAGGGGAGCCACTGCCAGATCCTAGTCGCTACCGCCGACTAGTTGGAAAATTGAATTATCTTACTGTGACAAGGCCAGATATCTCCTTCGCAGTGAGTGTTGCAAGTCAATTTCTTGATTCTCCCTGTGACTCTCATTGTGATGCAGTTATTAGAATTCTCCGATATATTAAAAAGGCGCCAAGAAGAGGTTTATTATACACAAATAAAGGGAGTTCAGAGATCTCTAGTTATTCAGATGCTGACTGGGCAGGTTCTCATTCAGATAGACGATCCACCTCAGGGTATTGTGTTCTCTTCGGAGGAAATTTGATCTCTTGGAAGAGTAAGAAGCAAACTGTGGTCGCCAGATCCAGTGCAGAGGCAGAATATCGGGCAATGGCAAATGCAACCTGTGAGCTCATCAGGCTGAGACAATTGCTTAAGGAACTCCATCTCTGTGAACAACGACCTATGAAGCTCATTTGTGACAATCAAGCCGCTTTGCATATATCCTCTAACTCAGTCTTTCATGAGAGGACCAAGCATATAGAAATTGACTGTCATTTTGTTAGAGAAAAGATCCTATCAAGGGAGATCGAGACAACATTTGTCAATTCCAATGATCAACTTGCGGATGTATTCACTAAAGCTCTTAGAAGTCCCCGAATAGATCATATTTGTAACAAGCTGGGAGCTTTTGATATATACGCACCAGCTTGAGGGGGAGTGTTAGAAATAATATTAGTCTATTATTATTAGATTAGTCTAGATTGTGGGCTTAGCTCATTAGGTCTTTTAGTCTCTATAAATAGAGAGCCTTCTTGTACAGTTATACACACTTGAATATACAATAATATTCAGACTCAATTGCTACCAATGTCATTACCAGTTTATTTCACTGATAAATCGATTATGTTAATCCAACGGTTATATTTATTTTCACCTTTATATAGTTATGAATCCTCATATTTTATGTGAAAATATTAAATATGAAAAATCATAACTATACAAAGGTAAAAATAAATATAACATATTAAATATAGGGAGAAGAAAGAAAAATTTTAGAAAGTTAAATAAGAACCGTTGGATCAACATAATCGAATTAACGGCGAACAAACTAACAGTGACATTGGTAGCAAAATTGGTAGTAATAACATCCTATCTCATTTTTTTATTATTGAATAAATTTTATTTTATCAACTATTGACCCAATTAATTTGGAATAAAAATAATTTTGCTGTTAAAGCTAAGTTAGATAAATGAGCATAGATTTAATTGTATTTTGATGAATAAGAAAATAATAAAAAATTTATCAGCCCAAAATCTAAAGAAGATTTAAGGTCTGTTTTATAAGAATGCAAATAAAAAGGCAACAGTTTTTTTTTTTTTAAATGAACATTTGAACGTAGTACAATTGAACATCCACCCCTCATTTCTATTTTTTCATTTTTCATTTTCTCCAAGCACATCTGTAGGCTATCATTGGATCATGGAAAAGTGGAAGATACTTGCATGGCACTGACTCTGAAAAGGCAAAGCCATAGTGGTGCATAGATGGCAACAGAGAATATCAAATAAAAAACGTTCAAAGTGGCCTTATTAACGAGTCCAATGAGTAATTAACGTGACCATCAAGTGACATCAAAGCGGATTCACCATAGCATAAATACGATTACATAAAAGCACTAGCTTTCTAATATTACACACAATACGAACGGCTTTTAAGTTATCTGCACTTAGTGGAAACTCGACACTATCGCATTACTTAACACGTGAACGCTGCGAATAAGTACCTAACACCCTGCATAAAGAAGGACAAAATGTCAAGAATAAGATTAAATCTACGTTAACTCCACAAAGATAAAGGTAGTTAAAACGCCACTAGTCTGGCATATAATATTACGAGTCAAGTCAACTAGCACAGATTCTAGGGCCTTGAAAACAACCTGTTTCATGCATGCACCTAGAAATAAAATATAATAAAGATATTTTACAATAAGAAAAGAAAGCTTGACATCTGAGTCTTCTATTCTCAAAACGAAAAAGGAAAAAGAAATATAAACCAAACCACCGTGCATGACTTCAGCATAAAGTCTTCTTGTAATGCGCATATGGCAATGTCAGGCATCTGAATTAGCTCTGTTCCTAGATTGAAAGAAGAGTTATAAAAGTTGCGGCAAAGCTATTTTTTCGAAGTTCAGCTGATTTCCCCTTGTCTGATATATAAATGGAACTGAGGCATGGTTAACAAAGGAACAAAAACTACAGAGACCCAAAAGCAAGACATCGAAAAACAACTATGAATCTATGTATTAAGCGCATAAACAGAACATTTAAAAGCTTCACAAACAAAGCTCCGAAACTAGGAAGGGTGGAACACAGTCCGTAGTAATAGACACCAAGTACCAAAGTGAACGTAACTAATTAAACTAGTCAGCATCTAAAGCCTAAGCACCTCAACTTTCAAAAAGACAAGAAGTAATAACAAAATAATCTATTGCCCAATAAAAATCAGATATAGAAACAAACCACCAGTTTGTAAATGTTAAAACCTAGGAGAGCAGGTAATTAGGAGAATTGATGACATGACAGACAGGTAATGGTAACAAAACAGGGTAGTGGATCCATGTTTTTGCATAATTAACAAGAGAAAAGAAAGCATAATTAACAAACCACAAAAGTTTTTGCAAGAGTTAATAAAAGACTACCCAGGATCTTCATGTTGAAGAAATAACAAAAACTTGTTGGCAGGAAACATTAATACACAAATATTAGTCAAAGCTTAGATAACAAGTAAAATCATTAATAATGATTGATATCTCTACAATCATATTGATACAAATCTAATTGCGCAACCATTGTTCTCTAAAGCTTAATGATGATATTTATAATACTACGTCCAAAAAAAACTAAAAGGGTAGTTCGAATGAGACATTGTCTAAAAGCCCCAAATTTGACCCATGATATAAAATCTCTCAAAGTGAACAAGATAATAGTGACCAACAAAGTAGAATTCTAATTCTTCAGGGTCCCATGTCATCAATTTGCAATGTAACAAACAAGTAATAATGGAATAGCTTAAGTCATGAAGATGAAAGCACTGCCCAACTATAGACCTCTCTCTTTTGTCATTCTATCACTTATCTAAAGCTTTATTCCCATTTACACCACAAAAATCACAAAATAAAAAGGAATAACCAAATCACCCCAAAAAAAAATAAAAAAATCAAAGCTTTTCAGATTAGATTCCTCTGCAACTAAAAATAAAAGCTTTCATTTACAAAAATAAAATAAAAAATAAAATAAAATCAAAGCTTGCTAATTTCCCTACCAAAAACTTTTATGAAGGAATTCAAAAACATGAATCATCGATAGATAAAGTTAACAAGTGAACCCAATTAAGCCATGAGCATGCCAAAACAAAAACCCTAACCTTTTCACGAAGCAGCGTGCTGACCCTCGCAAGCGGGGCTGTCATCGAAATTCTTCGAGGGGTACTTCGCCGTGACCATGCCGACTTCGAAAACGATGTCGTCGCCGGTGGAGCGGATTCCGGTGATCGACCACCACTTGAATAAGGCGCGAACCCTAATCCCGTCGAGCTCCGCCATCCGACCCTTCACGATCTTCCCGGTGATGGTGTTGGAGTACGTGGCGACGTAGTTGTCAGGGGGGAGCGTGATCTTGCACGCGCCGCCGAGCCGGACCGTGAAATCGCCGGAGGTCTGGTTCACGGTGTAGCCCAAGACGGTGGTGGCTGGCAGAAGACCGACGGGGAAGCCATAGTTGGTGAGCTCCACGTGAGCCGGGGATGGCGTTGATTTGGGGGTTTTAGGGTTAGGGTTAGGGTTTTGCAACGAATTGGATACGAGATTCAGAAGAAGAGCGAACACGAAGAGAATTTTGGGATTCATGGCGTTTTTCATTTCAATTCAATTTTTCATTTTTTTTTTCATTTCCTTTTTGATATTATATATGAAAATGAAACTGATATTTTTATTTTCTTTTTTTAAATTAATTCTTTATTTGTCAATTTGTGTGTATCTGTCATGAGAGTGACTCACGATGGGGAATACGATAATCAACGGAAGGATCTTTTAACACGTAACGGTAAAAACTACTTTCTCTTTTGACTCTTTTGGTTCACAAGATTGGGCCTGTGTTCAGATACAGAAATTGAAGCCCATCTTGTCAAATGAGCCCGGCCCAAAAGTTTTGAAACCATAAGAAATCAATAGATTTCTTAAACTCCATAATGCAGCTGATAGTTGTTGTCCATGTGACATGTTGTTATTTAGGTTATATTTATAAAAAAAAAATTATAATATCTTACAAAAATTTTATTATTAATGAATAAAAATCAAATCAACCGTTATAAAATGATATTAATTAAGAGTCATTGGTTTGATTTTGATCAGACAATAACAAAATAGTTATAAGAAATTATAAGAGAAAAATGTTGTGAGTATAACCCCTCTTTGTAAAATTAGTAACTTTTTATTTGGTTTATAGGAGGATTGAAACTTTTATCCTAAGCTAATTTTGTTCATGAGGCTAAAATGCAAGAAGATCAAAGAAAGCTGGAGGTCTTAATCTAGTACTATATATGAGGAATATAAGTCTCCTGTCACATGTGAAAGGGGGGCGGGATTTTTGATCCAAGTACTTCTCCTGCAACTTGAGAAACTCATTCGCCTTATATATGTCCTAAAATATTATGCTACAAACAAATTTAGCACCCTATTTTTGCACTTTTTTTTGGTTTTTCATATTTCATGGCAAAGACAATTGTGATGTAAAGCTGTACTTGTGCGTTTTTCTCTTTGATTATTTGTAACATGGGAGCTCAATAAAGTGAGAGAGAAGGCAAAAGGACAAAAGGGTAAGCATAAAGTAGAACTTTTTTTTTAATGGTGAAGCCTATATTAGGCATGTGATCAAAGCCATTCTTGTATCTGTATTAAGCAGATTTGCTTGTCATTCCATTCAGTTAATCAGCTTCATTTAGTTAGAGTGCATTAGCAAAAATGAAGGTTTGTGTTAAAAAAACAAAAAGAAGGCTCCAAAGAGAAAAGATATTGCTACATTTTAACAGAGACATTAATATTAATACTATTAAGATTATACATTGTATAAAAGGGAAAAATGACAGATAGAAAATTAGAGTTCCCTCCATTCTACTTCAACTTGTGTCTTTGTTGAACCTGCTGAAGATTTATGTTGTGTCCAAAATTATTCCTTATTAGCATGAGAATTCCAAAACTCTGCATTTTTCACCTTAGATACACTTTCCAACACTTCAAAGGGAAGAATATCGCCCATAACAACTACCATTTTGGTTTCCAGATCCACCTTGTATGAGGTCACTCCTGTTAAGAGAGGTAGATAGATGCAACTATTATAAATAGATACAAAGCAAACAAATAGAACCATACTGCAACTGTGAATAAATAATAAAAATGTTGACTTTTCCACAAATGACACTCCATTTTTCAAAAGGATTGGTTAACATAATCCATCTCCTCTGTTGAACATTTGGGCAACCCCACTGGGTTTATCTTACTGTTCAACAATATCCAATAGAATTTAGTTTAGTTTCAGATGAAATCTAGAAAGAAAAAAAAAAACACCAGGCACAACCACAAAGAAAGTTAAAGAAAAACAAAGTAGAAAGTTAAATTTCTTGTCATTTTGACACAGTTGAATTAGGCTAGAAAGCTGTTTTTTAATATGAAAAATAAAATGGCAATATTTTCACCTTCTAACTTTGAGATATGTTTCTCAACTTTTCTTGCACAGCCTTGGCAATGCATGGACACCCTCAAGATCACTATCTGCATATTTGGTCAACAGGAAGATATCAGATCAAACCATATAATCTGCCTAATGTAATACCAAACATGTATTTCCCTTTTTCTTTTTGGAAATACAGAAGAGGGACTAGTGTTTGCATAGAAACTTCACTGCAGAATAAGAGCATGTTATAAACAAAAAAAAAAAGGCCTTACCTGGGGTTTCAACTGAAAAGCCAATGTCTGTTTTCCATCTACTACATCCTTCAATCTTAGTTTATGATCACTGCCACTTGCAATCAAGGACTTTTTCTCAAACTCATCTTCAAATTCCATGGAGTTTATGCAGAAGCATGCGTTTGAACCTGAAGAAAAACAGAACGTGCCTAACATCCTCCCTAGTTTTCCCATTTCAATGTCTTATTCTTAGTCACACAGGAAAATCTGAGCTGAAAAGGGCTTTGTTCTAACAAATATATAACCTCTTGTGATTCTGTGATTATTAGTGATTCTTTTCCTTTATTAGACAGATTTTGCATTTATTTCTCTAGAATCATATCTTTATTTGAAAAGTAAATTATTCACATTAAATGTAAATTGATTTGGTTTTTATTTGTTTCCCTATAATCAACTTTTTATTAGGAAAGTAATTATTCACAATTAAATGTATATATTATAGAATCTGTATATGAATATTTAAGGAATAATATTCATAATTTTGTATTTAACCTTCCACACAAGTCTAACCAAAGGAGGGTAATAGGAATATCTTATATTAAAGAGAGAGAAGTCAGGGGAGTGGGAGAAACAAAGAAGCTTAAGGTCAAATTTTATTGGGGAAGCCAAAAGCAGCACAGAACCCAATGAATTTTACGAGGATTAATATTTAATAACAATAGAAAATAGGCTCAGTGTGGTTAGAGTATGTCATGTGATGAACCATCAAACACTTGACCAAACTAAAACAAGGATGCAGCCAAGATGACATTATTTGTCACTCTATAAATTACAGAACAAATTTTAATTATTTTGAATCAGATGGTGGGTATAATTGATTTGGAAAATGTGATTTTGTGACTCAAAATACATCATACTAAAGTTTGAAGAATTTTATGTCATCTCATAAATTTCTCTATAACAAACTCACTAATAACAGATACATCCACAAGTGTCATAAAAGGAGAAACATAGTTTGAGATTTGTCTCTCAGTGACTATTTTGGCTATGGAAGAAACAGATGCGTATTAAAAGAGGAGAAACTTGACTCACATGATCATTGTGATAAGTAAAGGAAGAAACATGGATCACAGGACATAAAATAGTAATGACAAAACTTTATACTGTAAATATGGTGAGGCTTAGCCCAAGTTGGACGAAAGGAATATGTATGTAGATCCATATGGGTAACTATATCATCCAAATTAATGAACTATAAGCATAGGAAAGTGGTCAAATATAATAATAGTAAAGTTAGTGCTTAATTGACAACACAAGATGAACTGAATAATCTATAAAAACTTTCAAAAGCAACTTACAAACAACATATGACAAACCACTCTCTATCTTTAGACATAAATCATTAGAAAATATACTTAGATTGAGAGGCTTTTGCATGTTTAGCATTCTAAATTAATTAATCATATTACTAAATTATGAAAATAATAATAATTGCAACCATTAATTAAAAAGTAAATATTTTAATATTATATCAACATGTCATTTGATGATAGTGCAAAGGCAAAGGGACAAATTGATGGAATAAGTAATTGAGACCCAATAAGACCTTAAGGAAGCTATTGACATCTTTGTCTTCACCTTCAAATATGATAGTGCAAAATGGGACAGGGGGGCCATGCATTATTGGACGCCATGAGATAACAAGCATTTCTGAATTATTGAATCATTGAATAAATATTATGTTAAATAAAAGCTATTTTATCTAAAGGTTGGTCCATGTGACAGTGGAACCTTTTCAATGGAAGCAGAAGGAGAATTTTGAAAAATAAAAGATAAGGGCAACGTCATGTCGTGTTGTATGTCAGTCACATGAGTTTTGCTTCTGCATGGATAAAAATAGAGTGTGAGTTTCTTGTGGTGATACATGAAGTTCAGAACACACACCAAACAGAGAAGAAAATGCAGGGTTTCACGGTTAGTTCACAAGGAGTAGGAGCAGGAGCACTTGTTGTGTCTGCTTTTTCTTACTAAGACCAAACATATTGCAATGCTCAAACAGCATTTCGCATGGAACACACCATTGTTGAATTTATAATATAAGTATGGACACCAAAGCAGAATGATAGTGCGTGATGTGACATGCAGTACTTGTTATTGGTGGCTCACACAAGAATTCACTGTGAGAGTCTATACACACTTTACTACATTGCTACAAGTCACGACGGAAAGCATATATTAAATATAGGGGCGTTTCGTTCACGAAATTTTTTTAGAACAGTAAGGAAATGAGATAGATAGAGAAATGATCGGAAAGATAGATAAACTGAGATAGGTAGAAAAATGTAAAAAAAAGTTGTTTGGTGGAAAAAAACTTTACTGAGAAAATTAAGTAACTTTATGAAATCAACAGTGCATTAAAAGCCAGATAACCAGTTTTCTGAAAAATCTCACCTTCAAATTGAGTTTCTAAACAGTGCGGATATCTATGTTTCTCATTAATCCAGACAAATTGGATAGATGAGTTTTTGGTGAAAAACGTTGAAACAAACATGGTATTTCTAAAAGCCATACTTGAGAAAGATAGATATCCGCTGAAAAGCTCCCAACCAAACACCACCATAGGGTTTTATAATTCTCATGTTGAAGGAGAATTGAAATCTCATGTTGGAGAGATAAAAAGCATGTGAGACTCATGTGTTAGAAAAAAGTATATGTAGGACCCATGTCAGCACAGAAATCGAAAGGTGTGTAGGAAAATTATAATTCTCATGTTAAATGAAAATTATAAAACCCTTAAATATATCTAGTAGAACCATAGTTTAATTTTAAAAATTACATCATTTATCAATTTATTTCTCTAAATCTAAATTTTACCAGATCCTCAATTTTTTTAGTCCTTTAATTATCTGTTTATCTCAATGTTATTAACTTTAATTTTTTTTGAAATATTAAAGGAAGATATATGTCATATACAATTCAATCAATTAAG